CTCAGAGGTTTCTTAGGAATATTGAATTATTTTAAACGATTAATTCCAAATCTAAGTAGGATGGAAGTGCCACTAATAGAACTGTTCAAGAAAAACCAGAAATGGGAATGGACTCCAGAAAGAAATACAGCTTTTTTACAATTAAAACAAATTTTTACAACTAATTTGCAAGTGTATCATCCTCAGTATGATAAGGAGTTTATACTAAGAACGGATGCATCATGTGAGAGATTAGCTGGAGTGTTGCTACAACAACAAGAAGAAAAGGAAGTTCCTATAAGTTTCGTATCTAGGGTAACCAAAGATTTTGAAAAAAGATATTCAGCAACGGAACTAGAAATGGCAAGTGTGATCTACTGTGTTAGCAAATTAAGATTTTTTTGTTAGGAGCACATTTTGTATTGGAAACGGATCATTCTGCTCTGACAACTTTGTTTAAAAACAGGTTTGCCAAAAACAGAATTCATAGATGGAGCCTTTTGTTACAAGAATATGACTTCGAAATTAGACACATTCCAGGCAAGTCAAACATTGTAGTAGATGTACAGAGAAGCACAACAAAGACGTGAAGGAAGAAAATATCAAATTGGAATCAACAGAATGAAGAAGGGCTGTATTCGTTAGAAAGAATCTTGCAAGATCAGAGAAGATTGGAAGAAGCAGAAAAGAAGAGAGCAATCAAAATCAATGGAGTATGGTGTAAGAAGTTGGAAACCATAGAAGTTTATGTCGTAACCAAAGAATTAGCAGAAGAAATCATGAGAGATCTACATGCTGAATATGGTCATATAGGGAGCAGAAAATTATGGATGTTGTTTAGGGAAAATTATTTTACAAGAAAAGATATATCCATGGCGAAAACATCACTAAAAGTTGTACCATTTGTCAGTTAGCAAAGGAGAAGAATTTCCACAATGTTAATGTAGCAAAATCCATAGTTGCAGAGAGACCTTTAAAATTAGTTGTATCGATTTTGTCAGTAATTTAGCCATAAGTGAACAGGGTTGCAAAAATATTTTTATAATGATTGACATACATACAAAATTTGTAAAGTTATATCCCAGCGAAAGGACAAATGTAAAAACCGTAAAATACTATCTAGAAAAATACATAGAGGAAGTAGGTACTCCAGAAACAATTATCTTAGATCATGCCACATATTTTGAAAGTCAAAGATTAAAAAGAGTTTGTGAAGAAAAAAAAATCCAATTAAATTTCATTAGTATGAGAAGACCCGCATCTAATCCTGCAGAAAGATACGTCAAAGAGATGGTAAAATTCTTAAGAATTTTGTGTGCTAGACAACATTATTTATGGCAGGAAAATCTGCCACAAGTTGAAAGATTTTTAAATGAGACACCACATGGAATCACCAAACAATGCCCATATTTCCTAATATCTGGAAAGTATCCAGAAAGACCCTGGGAAATCAGTAATACAGGAGACATTCAAGAAGTAATGAAGAAGGTGAACCAAAATTTAATAAGAAATGCTAACCGTTATGTAAATAGAATCAATAAGAAGAGAAAGAAAAGAGTTACTTTTGAAAAAGGGGAGAAGGTACTTATCAGGTCACTACAGGTGCCTAAAAGGGATGAAAATCTGTGTGGAAAATTACTTTTGCCATTTGAAGGACCTTATGTCATTAGTACTGAACATGGGGTAAACAGTTATGAACTAAGACATCCAGAAACTAATAATATTAGAGGGATATTTAATATAGAGGGAATTTATAAGTATTATGAATAAACATACAAGGGTAGGCAATATTATGACACGAATTTGGTACTATAAGATATAAGTTTTGTAAATAGAAGGATAATTAATAAATAAGCATATCTTGAGATAAATTTGATAATTAAATAATTTATTAGGAACAGATGTACAGAATAATGATGAATTTATAGAAACAAAAAAGGTTGATTTATTTTCAAGTAGATTTATAGGAGTTACAAGTATAAATAAATAAGCAAAGTACTATGGACAAATCGATATTTTGTAGAAATTGGGAAATAGGGAATATTATAATGATAAATAGTATATGCGGAAATAAGATGAAAAATAGAATTATATGAAATATTGAAATATGAAATATAGAGCGTTATATGTAGAGATGATGAAATGAATATTATTATAAAAAGAATAAATAATAATGCGGCAATGAATAAAGATACTGAAATATTATATGCGGAAATAAATAAATAAATAAAAATATAAAATAAAGAGGGAAACAATTATAAGAATTTCTACGAAAATAGTACAAGAAATAAATAGTACACGAAAAGAAGTAAAGAAATTGGGAAAGTACTTAGAAATTTCATTCTAAAGTTGATATAATTAGTGAAAGATTTATAGATTTTGTTTGGAGAATTCTGTATTTGTCATAGAGTAAATTATAAAAAAAAAATATTCAAGAGATATGCTTATTAATAAAAGTCAGTTTATTGTTATGTTAATATTAGTAAAATATTTAAGTTTACCGGTAAGAATTTAGATTTAGTAAGTGCTGATAGTTAGCACTGAACAAAATCCAAATTGGGGGGAAGTTGAAATGATTTCAATATGTTAAAAAATATACAACTTAAATGGATTTTTATATGAGTTTGTTGTTTATGAATTTCATGAAGCCATCACAATGTAGGTTCGACTCTGAAATAAAAGAGAGAAAAAGATTAGTAAATTGTTAAATAAATTAATTTTGACTTACCTGGTATAGTGTTAATAATTTCTGAATAGTATAGTTGCCTAGTGTATAGGTGAATCGTCTAAACCTTAAAAAGAACAAAAAAGAAGAATTTTAAAAATATATTTAAACATAGAAATTTTAATAAACGTCAGAAAATAAACTGCTTGACAGTTTATTTGACAGTCTGTGGGAGCTAAATTAATAGGGGTTTTGGTAAATAAGAAATTACAATGATGTGGAGATGAAAAGAATAAATTAGTATTGTAATAGAATAAATTTTATATCTAACATTTTTTTTTATAAATTCCCAAATTAGATGAGATTAAAGTGATTATGAGAAAGTAATGTGGCTTGACAAATATGTCAAACAGGACAGTTTTATGGTTTAAAATATTTAAATAGAAGACAGAAAAAAAAGAACGTTGGTTGCTGTTAGCAACGGATAAATAGGATTGGTTGTTTTGGAGAAGACGCCGACGATAATTTTGGACGAAAGGAGCCCCGAAAACTGTGAATAGTCCGAGAGTGTTTTCAAATCGTTTAATCAAAATATAGTTTGTCCACAGCAGAAGTACTCAGAATTTGTTTCAGTGAGTAAGAGAAACCATTTGATTTATAAATTATTATTGAAATATAGAAATGTCATTGAAATTGAGAAAATTAAAATTCATGAATTAACATAATTGCGATAGGCCTTAAAAATTGAAATATTAATGATCATTAAATTAAAAATAGAATAGTACGTACCTTAACTTCCGAAGAGAGGATTGATATTCCATTTTCACCGATTATTTTTGAGTAGTTCGTTTCCTTTAAAGAAATCAGAACTGTTTTAAAGTGAGGTTGGACAATAATTTTGGGGATCATTTGAAATTTTGATTATATTTGAATGCAAGTCAGCGGAGTAAAGTGTGCATTTTCTTTTTCTTTATAGTTCATTTAAACACTTTATAAAGTTGCAATATTTATTTAGTTTTTAGGTACTTGTAGAGAGTCTCCACATTTTGTAATACATTTTTATTGTCACGTCACTAAACCACGTTAAGATTTAAACAATTCCCATTTTTGTAAATTTTTAAAGGCAACCCAAGTTGCAGACGAATTTTATTGTTTATATTAAATTTGTTCAATATTAATAAATAACGTGCTTCATTTGGGTTAATTTATCAAAAGTCTAAAGTAAAATTTGGTTTAATTTCTTTTTGAACTCTACCAGGAGACTACAGTGTAGACGTCACACAGTGACAGATTGCTTAGAACATATAATTGAGCTAGCTGAGGTATATAATAAATTAAACAACGAACCACATATTTTAAAAATTACATTTATTATAAATAAAAAATAAAATTAATAAAATACAAACTTTTTTAATATATATATATATATATATATATATATATATATATATATATATATATATATATTATATATATATATATATATTACAAACTTAATTTCAACGATGAATGGGCTGAACTTCCGCGGCGGCCTCGGTCATCTGGTGTTTATGAACACCTAACTCCTCTGTACAAAGCTCCTATTAAAATAACGAAGAGGAAATTTGAAGACTTGCAATCACTGAAGAAAGTAATTCCTGAAGACTACCACCATTTCTATGATACCCTACCTCATGAATGTGATGAGCCAATTCCATCTCTAGGCCAATGAAAGCATATTATTACAAGTTGAGCTGTCAAGAACAAGATTTTTATACAAATCTTTTAGTTTTTAATAAATTCTAATAATTTTTGTCGTTAATAAATTTCAAAATAAAATTGCAAAATGAACTATGTTTCTTGATTTATGATACCTCAGAGCTAGAATAATTGCAAAATGTCTCATGACCCTGTGCAAAATGACTTATGTTATTTTTGGTATTAACGTATAACGCAAAATGCATTATGTTTGCTAAAATTTAATAAAAACTTAATATCAAACAATTTGGGCTTATACACATGTATTGTCCTTTGTTTTTAAGTATATCTTCTAATTTGGAGAAAAACACTACTCACACAGTAAATATTATTCAGTTTTTTTTGTTTCCTGAAAAGTGCATTTTTTTACATACGACCTTTTGCATTAACGGCAACGATATATTAGTATTAAAGATATAAAAAATTTATATATTTTTGCAAGTTACCTACACTTAAATATTTGAATAGCCGATTTGAAACTGGACTTTGAATTTTTGTGGCTGGAGAGTTTCAAACTATAGAGACTAACTTAACTTTCATATAAAATTGTTTTTTTGTCATTACAAGCAAATGGTTTTCTCGTACAGTCTGAAAATTAGTTTTGTAGTCTTGGCATAATATGGAAAAAACCTGGACGGTAGTCAAATTTCCTGATGAAAATGATGCTGTGGAAGTAGTACCCACTTCTTGGTTGTATGAGGAACTTTACTACTGGCCACCCTTCACCAAGAATACTATTAGAGAGACAATTGAACGCTGCAGCAGTCCTGATAAAAATTGGCCATCTTTTAAATTTGAGCACCTTAAAAATAATGTTGCTGGTAAGTTTTGACTACTCAAAAATGTTATGATCTTAAAATTATTTTATAATTGTAGGTAGCTGTCAAGAAACTAAAAGGAAAGTGTATTACGCCACCCAAAAATCGGATCTAGAGTCTGACTCACAAAGTTACATAGCTAGGGGTTTAAAAAAAAGAAAAATTTTAAAAAAAGATTTGAACAGTATTTATCCTTTGAAGAAGATGAAGAAGTAGAATATAATGATTTTCCAGATACTCCTTCATTAAAAAATGCTGGTAAGACAGGTATTGTTGCAAGTACCAGCACAACCGAAGATACACCTAGAAGTACATTTGGCATCACAGGTAAAATATGAATGTTTTACTAGCTACAACTGAGTCTTTGTACAAGTTGCCTTTGCTGTCAGTTATACTTTATTTTACAGTTTTAGTTAACATTTTTTGATATGTGCTGTTATTTTTAGGCAACATTCAGAAAGATACACCATCAACAAGCAGGGGTGCCAGTTCATCTTTACCAGCCCTTGTCTCTGTGTTTAAAATACATCTTGATTATTTTTTAGATACTGCTACAAATCACATAATTATAGAGCATTTAAAAAGGTTGCTTAAAAAGCAAAATATTTTGCAAAGTATGTTGCAAGATGTTGTAAGTGACATCGATGAAATAAAAAAGAGGCTCAACAAACGAGACGAAGAAAATTCTTTGCAGGTCCAGGGGCATGCTTCGTCTCTATTTACAGAACTTGAATATTTACCAGTAGGCAACCAACAAGAACTTGATAAATTTGAAACATACCCATCCGAGGAAGTTAATATGAAAAAAAGTGTAAGTTATAACATTTATCTGAATTATTATCAATGTAAGAATGTAACTTTTATTTAAAAAAAATCAGACATTTTCATATTGTTTTTTGTTCTAGGTAATGGCGCTGTACAAAATTGGAGGCAAAAATGTGTATGATTTTATATTCCGAGCAACAGGTTTGTTAATTTCTGACAAATTTGCAGGAGCAGAATACAGCTTCTTGTGCAGAAAATCAAAAAAGAGTTTTAAGGCACTGAAGTTTTCAGAGTTATTAGTGCGTAAGTATATTTTTATATTACAGTAACTTTAGTATTAACTGCAGGAATTATATTATAATCTTTTGTTCAATTGCATGTCAGTAGGTATGTGTTTTATAAAAAGAGGTAATCATTTTTTGTATTGAATTTTGAGTTTTTATGATATGTAAAATACTTGTGAAATAATTCAAAAATATTTCAAGGATGAACTGCAATAACAAAGTAAATTACATTGCATTAAGGTTAAGTTTCTTCGACACCAGTGACTAAATAATCATACCTGCTTTAACAATTTATCATCTGCTCGCAAGACCATTAAATAAATTTAAAAGTAGGTAGTAATTATGCAGTAATTAGTATTAAAAATTGAGCAGCTGCTTGTTTCGTTGCATCAATTCCTGCTGTATCTGTTGATTGACTTTTTATGGACTATGAGTTCTGCTAGTTAATTATTTTCAAGCAATCCACAGTTCTATTTGTCACTCCCCTTTTGAACAATTTGAGGACTTTAACCAGTAAGTTGTGTTTTGCTTTATTTTCAGAAGCAGCCCAGCAACAATTTAAAGCAGCAACATGGAAGGAAACAGAAAATGAAATTGCTAAATGGTTGCGAAGGTGCACATAACGAGCCAAGAATAAAACCAAAACAGTGTAAATTAACTGATTTTTTTGTTTTGTTTAAAAGTATGTACCGGGTGGTCCAATAAGCCGATCGCTCGGCTATATATCAGAAAATATTCATGTTATAACTTTAGGAGAAAAAATTTCTTAGTAAAAGTGGCCAAGAGAAATCGCTGGAAATAGATTTCAAGTTTCTAGGTTAACCGCTAGGGGGCGTAACCTGTGAAGAAAACTTTGAAAACCAGTTTTTTTAGAAATATGCCCAATTATACCAAGTGTTAAATAAATAAACTAGAAAGAGGCCTTAATTCTTCACAAAGTTGTTCAAGTACTTTTTTTATTTTTTCAAATAAACGGTGGGGGAGAGTGGGTAAGTATTTGTGGATAAATACCTATAACTTTGGATTGGATTAACCGATTTTAAGGGTGTGGATGAATTAATTTACATCTGCTATAAAATAATTGCATTTAGTTTTAATTGTCATAGGTAGAGGGTACTTTTGAATAGAAAAAAATAAAATTACTTTTTCTTCAAAATGTTTAATAGAAACACCTATTTATTGTAAACTATAATGGAACTGGATTAAATTCGTAACAAAATGGCGCAAACTGCATGTTAATAGCTTTTGTCGAACTCGAGATATGAATAAAAACGCATAAACATAAGTAAGTATAGTATTGACTCACTCTGTATTATAAATTAAATTAAAAAATAAGTCAGTAGGTACTTTCAAATTTTTTATAGTAAAAGAATCTTAATGTTGATACCTATTTTGACCATTGGTATTTTATATGATTAAAAATAGTTTTTCGAAAGTGTTAATATTATAATCCGAATTGAAGATTGCACTTTTTTCAATAGATATTAATATTGGTAATATCAGTAATTAATTATGAGTATTAATAATCCGTGGTGAGTATATCAAATGGAGAATTTTATGATATGATGGGAGTTGATTTCGAATGTCACCAAAACGCCGCTATTGCCTTACGTATATATTCTGTAAGATATCCAGATAGGAGACATTATGGCAAAGAAGTATTTGAAAGAAAGGTAAGAAGAAATGAAGAGGTAAGGAAAGAAGGAAGAAAGAAGAAGAAGAGGTAAGAGAAAAGGTAAGGAGAAACTGGTACTTTTCATAGTCCTTGTTTTTTAAACTATGTAGTAGAGGTATGACCGAAGATAATACAATCAATGTTCTTGCTTTAATTCAACAGAATCCACATATAAGTAGTCGGCAAATCTCTATAGAATTAAACATACCCAAAACGACTGTTCTAAGAATTTTAAAACATCACAGGTTGGTTTTTCATATTATAAAGTGAACGTTTAGGTCAGAAACTTGGAATTCCCTTTAAACTTTAGATTCAACTGTTATTTTAATGTTCCGATAAAAACGGCAACACGGCGCTTTCATCCTTTTATCCGTTTCTTAAAAGTACTTATGCACAATTTATCTTGTGAAACAATTGTAGATTTTTTTTGATTTTTGTAAATATAGTGGTTTCTTTTTCACCAATATTTGTTGTTCTGTTTTTTTTTTAGACTGCATCCTTATCATGTAGTTCTGCACCAAGCTTTACATGAGAGAGATTTTGATGCAAGGCTGGATTACTGCAATTGGATGTTATGTCTGCTAGAAGAACAATCGCGTATCATGTCAAAGATTTTGTGAACAGACAAGGCTACGTTTAATAGTGCGGGTGGTGTTAATCTGCATAATATGCATTATTGGGCTAAAGAAAATCTGCATTGGATATATGAGGTGCAGGTTCAAGGTAGAAAGAGTCTTAATGTTTAATGTGGTATAGCTGATGGAAAGATCGTAGGTCCATATTTCTTTGATATAACTTTAAATGGCGAAAATATTTGGATTTTCTGGAAAATCAGTTGCCTGTTTTATTGGAAGATATTTCCTTACAAACAAGAAGAGATATGATATTACAACATCATGGGTGTCCTAAGCACTTTTCCAGATGAGTTCGAGATTATTTGTATGCAAGTTATCCAAATAAATGGATTGGAAGGGGAATCTCCAGACAACATATTTGGACTTTTATCTGTGGGGAAGATTAAATGACTTAGTGTACCAAACTTGACCAACCACGCGAGTCGAGATGAAACAGCGCATTATAAACAGAATAAATAGTATATCAACAGCTGAGATTGAAGCACCTGTTATGTCTATGCGCGAAAGATTACATCTTTGTGTGAACAATGATGGAAAACAATTTGAACATTTAAATTGAACATTAAGTTTTAATGATCGAGATGTTTGTATGATCTTTCACATATTTAATTTTCAGTTATAATAAAGGGTGAGTCAAAAAGTGCAATCTTTAATTCGGATTATAATATATCACTTTCGATAAAACTATTTTTAGTCATATAAAATACCAATAGTCAAAATAGGTATCAACATTAAGATTCTTTTACTATAACAAAATTTGAAAGTACGTACTGACTTATTTTTTAATTTAATTTATAATACAGGGTGAATCAATACTATACTTACTTATGTTTATGCGTTTTTATTCATATCTCGAGTTCTACAAAAGCTATCTACATACGGTTTGCGCCATTTTGTTACGACTTTTATCCAGTTCTATTATAATTTATAATAAATAGGTGTTTCCATTAAACATTTTAAAGAAAAATAAATTTTAATTTTTTCTATTCAAAAGTACCCTTTACCCATGACAATTAAAACTAAATGCAATTGTTTTATAGTAGATGTAAATTAAATCATCCACACTCTTTCTAATAACACTAATTTCGTTAAAATCGGTTGATCCAAACCAAAGTTATAGGTATTTATCCACAAATACTTACCCACTCTCCCCCACACTTTATTTGAAAAAATAAAAAAAAAACAACTTGAACAGCGTTGTGCGGAATTTAGGTCTCTTTCTAGTTTACTTATTTAACACTTGGTATAATTCGGCATATTTCACAAAAAACTGGTTTTCAAATTTTTATTCACAGGTTACGCCCCCTAGCGGTTAACCCAGAAACTTGAAAGTTATTTCCAGCGATTTCTCTTGACCACTTTTACTAAGGAATTTTTTTTCCTAAAGCTATAACATGAATAGTTTCTGATATATAGCCGAGAGATCGGCTTATTGGACCACCAGGTACACATATCTTACTGCACTGTGTTCTATTATTTTTCAAATGAATAAATTTACATTCCTTTGTGCCCACACCTTCTATTTCTATTCCATTTTTACTCAAGATCGTTTAATTGAAACCAACTTTGATTTATTATTCATATGATAAATTATATTTTTCAGTTCTAAAATACAGTTGGATTGAATCAATTTGCTTCTAAGATAATCTAAGATAATCCGTAACTGTTTTTTGGAAAATGTGCACCACTTTAGCTTTTTTTCTGACACAATTTAAATTTTTGGGATTGTCTAAATGAATTATAAAAGTGGAACATTGAGAGAGAAAAAAGAACAGTAGCAATTTGAATTTTCAGAGTAGTAAAATTTATATTTAGATGAATACAATATTTGCTAAAAATTAAAGTAGTACTTATACCACACTGGGTGGAAATCGGTTTGAAACCATCTCCATTTGTAAATTGTGTATACAATTTTGAAAGACATTTTATTAATGAAGTTCCTGGTAAAGAAAAATAAAAAAGGTCTTTTGTGTAATATTTTAAAGTATAAAGTTTTAATATTATATGAACTATATCCTATAAAGGGTTTTTGATATGTATTCACAAAATTATGGATACTAGATTGTTTTGTGAAAAGTCCGCTACAAATGTCCATAAGACGTACATTAAATGTACATAAGATGTACATTGAATGTACATAAGGTGTACACTGAAAGCTCCAACAACGTACACTGTATGTTTATTGTGGATGTTCTATGGATATCCAGTGGACGTCCAATTTTGTGAACTCTGGACGTTCGTTGGACGTCCATTGGATGTCCATTGTACCTTAGAGCGACGTCCATTGGACGTTCCAATGTACACAGATGTATGTCCATTGGACGTCCATAAAACGTACTTGTGCTATCTGGGCAGTAGTATAGTGGACATTAATTAATGAAGCCAATACGTATGTCAACTGTAATTTTGATGAGTACCAACAGCCAAACCATTTTACACCCTCACATGTTAATTTAGAAGAGCCCAATAGTATATATAAATTGTTTTTGACGGATGAAGTAATTCAACTCATGGTAGATGAAACAAACCTTATGGGTATAATTAATTGTCCCGATATTAAATTATTTTGGTCTAAGCAAGATAAATACGGAAACAAATTTATAAAACATATATTTTCAAGAGATCATTTTTTACAGTTGCTAAAATTCTGGCATTTTGAGGATAATCAAAAAGATGACGGAGATCATCTTTATAAAGTTCGTCGCTTAT